CAGTGTGCACACGTTGCTAAGAGGGACGACGGCTGGCTACTACGAGACCAAAGACGGAGAGAGAGGAGTGGCAGTCAAGGGTGGGGAAGGAAAAAACCACGCCGGGGAGAACTTTACACCGCGCGGAGACGGAGCAACGAAATGGATCGGGTGCCGGGTGCTGTTGCAGATCGTCGCATCGTGGGGCGACGAGATGAGCGGCGTTCATTCGGCAGCAGATGAATCTTGGATGAATGATGCCGACGTAGCAGCAGATAAGAGGGTTACAACACACACCCACGCCGGGGTGGATGATTATCTCCTGTTTACAGGCCTCTGATGGTGGAAAGTCCACATTCCTCCGGCGGGTAGAAAGAGGGTACCCACCAATTTGGCCGACCAACAACAAGCACGGAGCCGCAGGAGGGCAGCAAGCAAAAGCCGCCATCGCGGATTACTCATCAACAACAAGCACAACAACAACGACAATCAACCACACCAGCACGGTCAGCAGCAGCAGCTGCTCTTCCAGTGACATTAAATAATAAAAAATAAACATTCGTAAATAAGTGTGTGGGTGATAATGGTAAAAATAATGTATAATTGGCAACGTTTCAGGCAGGGAGTGGGGATCAGGGTTCGAGACTGCCACCTTATCCACTATCTCTCTGGCCCCTCTATTATTGTGCCATGAAGAAGGGACCTTGCCCGAAACGTCGGTTATTGTTATATATGTCGCATTTACAGCCACACGGTGTTACTGACGAATGTGTTGAGTGTTTTATTTATTGTTATTTGTGCTTCGGAACCGGAATGCCGACATAGCAGCAACGGCATCATCAAATAATGCTCTTAAAACAATAATGCAGACCGCCACTGTAACAATCCACTGCTGGATGAAGGGCTTCCCCCAACGCCGTCAGTCACGTGAGGTTGCTTGACCATACTTGACCCACGCTGGTCGCCAATGCGGGGTTATGAGCATTTAACTTCCCACCGTGAATTTGACACACAGGCTTTTACAAACATTACGATCCATCATTAGCTTCCTTTGGGTCAGACCACCAGTTGGCTACATACGATGCGAAATAAGTTCAACATCGATACATACTTGTCAATGATTCAACAATAACCTTACACCACCAATCAAATCAAGTGTGTCACGCCGTGGGCAAAATATATGCCGTTTGACGTGGATTTTCAGCAAATCAGAAAGTTAAAAGGTGACCAAAATTTGGACAATTTTGTGTGATGTTTATCTGCAGACCACAGACACATTGGTGATCGCTTTCCAACCATCTGCTCATATTTGGGGAAATTACAAATATCCGAGATGTGCCGCGGTCCAGCTGATCTCAGGGATCTTTACAAGGGTTCAAAGTTATGCTAATCACACCTGTTCATACGTCTTTATGCACACGTGTAGTGAATCCAATTGAGTCGCAGACGTTATCTTGGGAGCAACACTTTTATTCACACTAACACCAAAACATCATGTAATCTATACACGGGTGTTGAACGCCCATCTAACCACGCTACGCTATCCCTGTCCGGACCACAAGCTGAGTCCCGGACCGCGTGGCTAGAGGCTTTTTCACCAACAACCAGACGAACCCCGAGCCCCACACAGGGCCCCGTTATATCGGCCTCGGCTGGGCTGGCTCTGCCCCTCGCCCCGCCCACCTTCTAGATATCTCTGGCCCTTTCCCGAAGGCTCCCGAGAGCTCTTCTATACCACGTGACCACCCAGCGGCCCCCGTTCACCGGTGGCCCCCCTCCAATATCATCCGGTCACGTGTCGGCAGGTCAACCAGCGTATCATGCCCCAACGAAACTCTGGCTGGCTGACACTCTCTCTCACTCCCTCACTGGGAGCCCGCACCGCACACTGTACGTGGTGCCTCTGCGCGAACCAGCGCTCACCCAAGCCCCGCTAGGGCTGGTACTACGCCCAGCAAACAGGGCTGCACATAATGACAACATTATCTGCCGTGGCCTCGCAGGCCCGGCACCACAGTGACATTCACACTCAATACACACGCATTAGATAATCAACTTGGCAGCGGCACACACTGCTCTACGAACCCGGCAAACACGAGTTCAAGTACGTGGCTAGCAGCAAGCGTAGCTAGGTGACATCTGAGCAACCCGCAATGACCAGCGCGCGTTTGAAGTATGGTCACACAACCACCCACCTCCTCCCTCCGTGACCGATGCTGCATGTGGGAGAGGCATTCACCCAGCAAATGAACAATCCACGGCATACAGCCACGTTTAATAATGTGTTATTATTAAAAGTCCACAGTTGTTTTTAATCATGTTTAATTTCATCAAAGTACTCCATCATTTCCCCTTCACAACATCATTTTGAAGCTGATACACTTTCAATAATTACCTTGGGCATTTATAGCCACTGGGTGACATCTGATGAACCAGAACCACAATAGCGACCACCTAGGCATCTTTCGATTCGAGTACAATTACATGGTTATGCATACTTTATACAAAAAGACACGATCCTAATCGTAAAATATACTTTAAAATTTCATCTATGTATCATTTGCTTTGTTTTTGTGCACAACAACGTACGTGGCACACTCACACAGAAAGAGGAAGCAAACGATTTAAGGGAACTACCCCAATATCTGACCCGTGCACACTGCCATGTCAAGGACGAAGTCTGCTTGGCCAACACTGATCGTCGGCGATCAGGGTCGATGGCTGGACACTGGTGACGATGTGTATGTATGAAACATCTGAATAGGTTTTACCCTTTCTGGCAATAAAACAGGAGTTGTGTTAAGATATTCAACCACACGTAATTCTGGCAAAACATGCAAACATAATATATGCATTCAATCAGTGACAATATAACTGATTGGCCGACACCAGTTCTTATGCCCTTGCCTCAGCGTCGGACCTGAGAACGCCAAAAGGCGAACAAGTAAGTACATGTTTTGCCACAAGTACGTGTGCTTAATTCAGACTTGATTCCTTGCAAAATGTATCTATCTCGTGATTGAACATCTTAACACCTCCTGTTTGATTGCCAGAAAAGCTAAAACCTATTCTTATTTTTCAAACTTTTATACTGGCAACGACTTCTTTCGCACCGTACTTAGCAGAGCCGTGCGGGCAGGAACGGGCAGGTAAACGAGTTGACCCACAGAGGACAAAACATAACTCTATAGCGCGGAGAATGTCAGCGAGGTGACGACTTGTACACAGGTCAGGATGGATTGTTGGCACGCATCGCTGGACTATGGGCCATCTGTGGGGGAAAACAGAGCTTTATAGCTCATCGGATTCCTCCAGTATAAAAAAATGTTCCGACTTAACATCCAGCAGTGCAAGGCTTGTATATAGCTTTCAGGTAGCTGACGTTTCAAAAGCCTAATTTAAACAAAAAATCCCGATAATCAGAAAACATATTTGTATTGTAATTCTGTATCGATGGGACCTTTAAGCCAGTATCCAAATGATGAGAATTGCCAGATAGGGTAAAGCCTAATGGTTTTCTCGCCAGCCCACCACCCTATGGTACCCTAAGAGCAGTCACCAAACTCGTATCATCCACTCTGGCTTCTCTAGGGCGAGGAGCCGTCCGAAACGTCGCCGATTAATTTTTATTTTTGTGTTGTTTTGACGTGTGTTAGTCTAGCGGTGGCATCATCATGATGACGACGAAGCCAGTCTAGTGTGTGTAGAGAAGTCCGACGTTTACACGTTGGGTAACCAATGCATTTGTGTGCTTATCTGGGACGCTGGCAAATTGGTTCATCTCTACGGCCGTGTTGGTATATTGCATTGTTTACATCTGTAAGCTCCTTAGCCATACAAACATTAGGACGGTAAATGATTACAGAGCAGTACGGTACATACACACACTGTATTCGTTTACATACGGTAGTACAATATTGTAAAGTTCACGTGATGACATTTAAGCAGAACTCGGGGTCTTAAAAAAATACAAAAATGCTTACACGCAGCATTGCGTGTGTGCATTCTTATCTACGGTAGCATTTGTACAATGCCCATGGCTTGCATGTTGTAGCAAATCGCATCGCGCGTCTATCCACAGCAATAATCCATAGTCCGGTTCCACGTTGACGTAGCACGACACACCACGCGTGGCGCTGTACGTCATCCGCTCACGATTATCTCGAATCCATCTCCGATGACGGGCCATGGTCCGAAACGTCGCCCGATTACAGAATGGATTTTTTTCCTTTTCATCCCGGGGCCGAGTGATTTGACAAAATCTCGAGCGGAATTTACACGGCGACTAATGTTGTACAAAGACAAAGGTCCCCCGTGTAGCCTTGGCAGACTGTTGGGGCAAGCACTGTGCGCCTGTGAAGGCCGGCGCTGTGGCACACGAGGGGGGGGGGGGCACATCGCGCCCGGCCGTCTTTGTCTCCGCCAGTGACGATGTTTACTACACCGCGCCAGGTACTCATTTGAGGCCGAGTCGACCTAGGGGAGACAATCGTCACCGGTTGTTGGTGGCCGTGAACGAGAAACGAACCCGTCGCCTGCTTCGCATGCGCAGCGCCAACAACAAGCGCCATCCGCCACGACGACGTCACCGCGGCGCTCGTGCCAGGCTACGTGCACACGCACAGACATTGGCTCTCGTGCCAGGCTACGTGCACACGCACAGACATTGGCTCTCGTGCCAGGCTACGTGCACACGCACAGACATTGGCTCTCGTGCCAGGCTACGTGCACACGCACAGACATTGGCTCTCGTGCCAGGCTACGTGCACACGCACAAACATTGGCTCTCGTGCCAGGCTACGTGCACACGCACAGACATTGGCACCGCGCGCGACGCTTCAACTCCGCCTCGCGTTTTACATCGCAGCGACGCCGCCTATCCGCAGTAGCATTTCCAAAAGGGCGCCCATGTTTACTACGCGTTGTCGCCCGCCGCTCATCGTTTGTGTCGCACGCGCGCTATTGCATATGGTAGTCCGGTTTGGGTACGGCGAAGTGGGGGGGGGGGGATCTGGGCTCACCTCCTCGGTGGCGATGAGGCCCGCGCTGCGCTCCTCCTCCTTCTCGTCCCTGGGCGGCTTGGGCCCCCCGAGCGAGATCTTCACCATGGCGAGCGAGCGGGCGGGCGAAGAGGCTTGACGAGCGTGGTGCGCGGCGGACTTCCTCGAGCGGACGCGGCGGGGCTCAGTGAGCAGTTGGCGGGCGGGGCGGTAGTGGCGGTGGTTGTTGTGGGAGGAGCGGTGGCGCAGCGGTGGCGTTCACGAACAGCGCAGACGACAAAAGGCGAAGTGCGGCGGGGGGGGGTTGCGTCAGACTCGACACCAGGGGGCACTGCCCCCCATTGGTTGCAGACGACACCACGTGGGCGCGCGGGCCGACCAATCACGCGACGATGTTGCGAGGTTATTTAACTCCACCCCCCACCGCATTTTTGAGAATCGATTTGTTGTATCGATTTCATTGTGTTCTCGATTCCATTGTATTTCGATTAGTGGGATCTGCTCTTTTGTGTGTGTGCGTGGTTTTTGCATCTCCCCCCAATTTCTATTCTGGTGACGTTTCGGGCAATGGCCCACGGTACGTGGGGCATTATGAACCATTGCTTATGTTGTTTAGGCAGTGTTGTTGACGAGGTTTAGTTATTAGACTAAACAATTTTTTAGGTCACCAGGTAAGGCCCACTGAGCTCCACAGGTCTTTTTCAGAAGCGACCTGGCCACATTAAAACTCAACCAAGTGGCTTATCATGTGGAAATTTATAGCAGTCAAATACTCTAAACGCATGATGTTGATTCTAAATGTGGAGGGGAAAAACCGGAGGAGCCTGAGAAAAATCCACACGACCATGGGGAGAAAATGCAAACTCCAAATATACAGCAGGCCGTCAGGATTGGGATCGAACTCCTGCATCACCAAATAATGTTTACTATTCTGGTTGTTTATGTGGGGGCGCGACGTCAACCACCTCCACTCCCCCCTCCTCATTGGCCGCCTCTCACCGGGCCCCCGCCGATCGAGTGATCGGCCCCCCCGCACAAGCATCCTCTCGGAGGGACATAGCCAAGTGGCTGGCTCACCACCGCCCGGGGTTATCTCTCACGCCCACGCAGAGCCGGCCCAGCCACTAAGTGACCCTTGCAATTGCAAAGGGCCCCGTGGCCAGCAGAGAGCCCCCTAGAGTCACTGCTAGCTAGTGGGTGAAAAAAATCATACATCAAAGGGGCCTCCAACCAAATTTTGCTTAGGGCCCCCTAAGGTCTAGGACCAGTTCTGCGCCCACCACCACTAATACGAAAGCGGCTGCGTGCACGCGTGCGCCCCTGCAGGCGCTTGTTTTATACAAAGCTAGCCAAAAAAAACGGCAGTATGAATATGCGCGTGCACCTCCGGGTGGTTAAGCCCTAACCCGCTTGCACACAAAGGATCATGCTAAAAACGGCGGTATGAATATATGCGCGCGCACCTCCCCCACCCTAATACGCGGCACAGCTGCACAGACACGCGAGCGTCGGCGGCCGTGTATGTGGCCTGGTTATTAAGTTCATCACGCCGAAGTTCTACCCACACACACAAATCACACTGCACCGATACTGAACGACGCAAATACACACTACCTGGGGGGGGATATTTCGCGAGAAGAGCTTTGCCTGACTCTGCCTACAAACCCAGTCACTCAAGCGTCCTACCACGTACCTCGAAGCTGGACTCACGGCGTCACACGGACGCTGTAAGAGTTGTAGGGAGAAGGACGGGAGAAAACTTTACCTTTCAATGCCTCGTAGCAGCACTCGCTGGCATCACACGGAGGCTGCGAGCGGCTCGAGAAGGCCGGACAGCAGGGAGTGGGTCTGGACGGCCCGGAGGTTGAAGACAAGAGACCGAAATCGTCCCGGGCTACTCTTTTAATTCTCTTAACTTCAAAGGCCCGGGGTCCCATTGTACCGCGCGGCCAATCGTGCGATTACCTGCAGTTACCCCCCCCCCCCCCCTGTTTTAAACCAATTTTAGGGGCATCGCAATGTAACCTGTCCTGTGAGGGTCGGCCAATCTCCTGGCACCGGGAAACCGTGAGACTTTCCCTCTAGGGGCTCTTGGGATTAAAACCCTATGTGCCAGGCGATCCCCCGCCAGGACACTACGTGAGTGCGCTATGTGCGGGTGTGTGTTTAGTGCAGGGGCCGGGAGGGAATCGCGGCGCTTGCGTAGTTGCTCTGTGGTCGTGGCACCACATTTACTCAGAAAAGCCTCACCGAATCTCACGACAACTTTTTCAGGAGGATCCTGCCGATGTATTATGCTGTAGAAGGCGGTGTGTGGTATGCAGATTCCAAATGAGTAATTTGTGGTGTAATTACCCCTTTCTGGTTCCGAGACGACTGCAAGTTGCAGGGTGGGGGGTCCCGTTCACCGCTGAATGTCGGAACACGCCGAAGTGCTTCAACGTTAATTTAATTTAGAGAGACGTAGCGCCGCTGTTCTAAAGACATTGTTACTCAACGCAAAGAACTGTAGCGAACACGACTTGCACTCTATGATAGCTAGTGCCAAACTGTACCACACGCCCTCCTGCATGGCCTTTTACTTCTGATTCCCTTCCGATGACGTACCTGTATGTTATCGTACGTCAAAGGGTTCATCAAAGAGACAAATTTGGACCACGACGCTGGCACTATGGTCTACTGTTGCAGATGACATGGTCGGATCTTCCAGTGTGAAGCAGACAGCGTGCACTTATTACGTGTATTACAAACCGCAGTAATAACCAGGCCGGCTATATGATTTCCAACTGCCAACCTCTTCAACAAGCGATAAACGTGCCACCGCTAGTCCGCGTCAATGCCCTAACGCTGCGTGTAACCTCCTGACTCAAATTTTATTGAAAACTTTCATAACTGCAGGAATTCATATTATTTGGTTCTTTCAGAAAAGTCATGTAGATAGAAAAATTATTTTAAAAAAAAAGTGAAAAAATAAAAGAAAGTAATAAAAAACAAAAACCACTCATGTAGACTGTAGCCTGGTTCTTAATCTGAGTGAGTGTACTGGCAGTCTATAATATAGACTGTGGCCTGGTTATTAAGTTGGTGAGTGTACTGGCAGTCTATACTGTAGACTGTAGCAATGGTTATTAAGCTGGGTGAGTGTACTGGCAGTCTAATGTAGACTGGAGCCTGGTACTTAACCTCAGTGAGCGGACTGGTTGTCTATAATGTAGACTGTAGCCTGGTGCTTAACCTCGGTGAGTATACTGGTAGTCTATAATGTAGACTGTTGCCTGTTTTTTAAGCTTGGTGAGCGTATTGGCAGTCTATAATGTAGAATGTAGCAATTAGTTACCTTGTTGGGGTCTAGTTAACGTGTATACATTATGGAGTTAGCCCTGTTGGTTGTGAAATAAACATGTTGCCTCCAAGTCAAGTGTGTGCCTCCGTGAAGAACACTACAAGCATACTGGCAGTCTATAATGTAGACTTATTCTTTGGTTCTTTCGGCTCACCCACCTACAAACTGGCCCGATATCTGTCTGAGACCTTACAACCATTCACTGGTAAGACCACCTCTTATGTACTAAACTCACCTGGTATCGTCAATTAAGGACATTTCACTGTCCCCAGATGATTTGCTCGTTAGTTTCGACGTAGTTTCTTTGTTCACCAAAGTTCCTGTGCTCGATACCATTGCAATCATTGAAGATTTGGTCCAACAAGGATTGAATGCTGATGTACCGGCCCTGGTAAGACACTGCCTCACCAACACTTACTTCACCTGGAATGTAACGTTCTACAAACAAACTGAAGGCACCCCAATGGGTTCTCCCTTATCTCCGGTTGTAGCCAATGTGTTCATGGAAAATTTGAGACGGACGCCATCCAGGTGTAATAACATGCTGGAGACGGCTTGTGGAATCGGTCCTTTTATTTCACTTCTTGCAGTTCACAAACACTCCTCATTGCTGGCAGGCAACGGGAAGCGGGCAGACAGTAGTGAAGTGGTGCGATGGCACAGTTTCCCTGGAGGGTGCCAGTGGGTGAATTAATTTACGTGCAGTGTCTGTTGCACACCAGCTACCGCACGGGGCTTAATCAGGAACCAAGCCTGGGTCCAATGGCAAGAAAGAAAACCAAGACGATCGGAAGCACCAGACATCCAGCGACTCCTCCACCATATGCCGTTGGCCATCTGGACCGTAGCTCATCCGACCCACCGAGGTGGGCCGTTGGCCACTTGGTATCCACCCGGGATGTTATCAGGGTTTACTCCCTTAGCCTAAATGGCAAACCAGAGCCCCGTGAGCCAGCGCGTTTCCAGGTGAGTCCAGACAGGCCTTCTTGGTTACCGAAGCGGCCCAAGTGGTCGAACCACCCACTATACTTCGCCCTGTCTGGCAATCCTGTACTTTACCTATTACCACCTCCTACGACGTGGACGAGGGGTTGTTTTTTGGGAGGCATTTAGCCTAAGCATTGCAACACGAAATAAACGCGAGGCTAACACACTGTATAACTGGCTATGCAATTACCAATTCGTAACATTTTCTCTACCCTTTTAAATCCTGTGCTACAGCACTGTATTAAACGAGGTGGTGTCGACTAGGCTTAGATGAAAAAGTAGTAACTCCGCGATTGAATGAGGTGAATTAGGTGAAGCACTCTATTGTGTAGCCATGGGATATCTGGGTACAGGCCCACCAGGCAGTTCCAGGCAAGTACCGGGCTGACCACGAGACACAAAGGCCTCACAGCGATTACCAAGAATATGAACCTCCTGACCCGTTCGCACATCCTGTGGTAACAACTAAGGAGCCGCCCGAGGAGGAAGGCCCCCCTCAACAACTGCCATTCGCCACTAAGTGGCGGTCACGTAACCATGGCGCTTGTGCCAGGTTATGTGCACTCTTAAGGCCACGTGAGGTGTTGAATGCTCGCTGACAGGTCACGGGACAGATCCAGGTGCCATGTGTTGACTGAGATGACTGGCAGATTCACCACTTGTGCCCCCTGCTGTGCCAACTTGTTGTGTTTTAGCCACCCGACACTCCACTCATTGTGAGCGTCTCTTCTCTGCCGTCCAGTTGTTGGAGAGTAACTGCGTCCTACTGCCCAGTAGTGTCCTTCACGAGCCTCATCCACAGAAGCAGATCTTGACACCACTGGTACCAGTCATTGGAACGTCCACTGAGCTCCATATCTTCTCATACCACAATTACATGTTTTCTTCAGCCCGTGCCACACACGTTTAGCCCCCTCTATGCGGCCAAACAAAAGCTGTTTGGGCATGCAGTGGCTGGGCT